TTTGATGTTCTTCATATTCAGTTGAAGCCATAACCATGTTAGTAAACTTAAAAGTAAGACTGGTCCGTCTAGAATCTTGAGCAAAAACAAACAAAACAAGCAATTAACGAACGTCTGTTTTTTCTGTCTCAGGGCTCAACGATAGAACTAAATCATGTCACCTTCAGGAACATGTCTTAACTCTTTGTCGGATCAACTATTAACATTTATTCCCTCAAAATGATCTCAATAATATTTTTATAACACGGGATATCTCGACTTCTTCTCGTTTGTTTTTGTTATACTTCTTTTCCCGTTGGAACTTGTAAGTGAAAAATCTGAGTAACCCAAGCTAAGCTAAAGGTTTTGCGCTGCGCTGGAAAAAAAGTTATAGTAAAGTTGTCCAAAAAGACGATCCTTAGAAGGCTAGGTTGACGGATGAAATTCCTTGCCTTATCCTCACCATCTACTTAGCTGTTTCTTCGAAGTAAAACTCGAGCTACTAACGTAGTCGACATTTAGCCTCTTGGCGGAATGCAGTCTGGAAATAACTGGAGTTTGAGGGTTGGATATCCTAACTGTCACCACTAATCTTAATCTCCAGTCGACATGCGTTTTGAACTAGATATTTTGCTTTAAAGAGGAGGTTGTCTAAACATTTCAAGTAAAATTGGTGCTGTCTCCAGACTGGACCACCTGTATCAAACTTGTGGAATGCTTGCACACAGTCATGGCCAATAGATTCTCAAAATTACCGAGGCAACAATACACTAGATATTAAGAAGCTCCATGCATAAATAAGACCTTTCCCCCTTAATATGAAGACGAGTAGCGTTTTTCATATATGTAGTTTAGTTTGATGTCGGAGAGGACGTTACATCTGCAATTTAACAGAACAAACGACGGTTTTAAGATAATACACCACAGTACATATCCGTAGACTTACTTGCATTTTCGGGTACAAACTCTTCAATGAATTTTTCAGAAGCTTTCTGCAAAATAACGGGAAAGTGGCCAGAGTGAATTGAAGGTTGCTTTAGATAATGTGTAGACCATACCTCTATCCCTCTGGTCATGCTATGTAACTTCAAGACCCGTTCAGATTAATAGAGCTCTTCAAGATAAATCAAATGAAGAACGAAGAAACAGTCGCGCAAGCGCGCCGCTTTTAGCTCCATAGTGTTGTCTGCTTTCCGAACGCAAAAATAAGCTTTTGTATGACCTATATCTGAAAAGAAAAGGAAGTATCTTTTTTGCTTCCTGTCTTACCGTACAATCCGTTGTGGCGCTTTCTTTACTCTGACATTTTTGAGGTTCCTTTGTACCAATGTGGAAGATGGCTGCAAAGAAGAGTCCTGTTCCAGTCGCAATCCACGAGAGGTACTGTTTAGAAAAAAATTAATCAACTAGCATCTTAACCCTTTAAGTCCCAGAAATGATTAACTTGTAACCTCTCCCTGTTGTAAACATACATTCTCTGGCCAACAGCTGATGAGAATAGTCGTACTTATCAGGGAGAAGTTTTTATCTTGATCTAACGCTAAATTCTCAAAATTAATTTACAAGGAAATGCAAAGCAGCTCCAAGAGAGAATTGACAATCAGATCTTGAAAGTTGAAAGGTTAAGGACAAAAAAAAAGGTTTTTGATGCCAGCAGAGATGTGTGGAAGGAGACTGAAAGGCTGTCAGGCAGTGCAGCAAGAGAAAACCAAATTTCTCCGATCCGTTTTTTAATTGCGTTTTTTTAAAAATTTCATTGTATTGAGCTTCCGCCTGTTTGTCAAAGCATATCGTAGCATAGAATTATTAACGAAGCTGCGCTTACCACAAAATCTGGAAGGCTCTGGGGTCCCAGAGTATCGCTATTGTCTTGTCCGAAAAGGCCCCAGGCGATCACGTATATGTAAATACCACTAAGGAAGCTGAACATTGTCCTTTTGAACAACAAAAAGAGAAGAGTAAGGAAAATTGTTCTTAGATGTCACGTTTATCATTTCTACAGGATAACTTAGAAAAAAAACGATCTCAGAGTGTCCGTGCTTGAGTTGAGTTATATAAAAGTCATACAAGTGTTTATACAAGTATATTTAAAACAAATACAATTGCAGTTTGAACAATATCTTAAAAAAAGTCTCTTGAAGCAAACTTTATGGTACCAATAAAACTGTACATTCTTGACGGATTCAGTTACAGTTGTAATCAAGATAATTTATCTCCACAATGCTCAAACAAATGTGGTACACCGAGATCAAGAAGATGTAATAGACAATTGAAAGCCACCCACCATGATTTCTATTACAAAGAAAACAGCGATGAAAAAAAAAAGGAATTATAATGCTCATTAAAACCGTTATCAAAAGGTGCCAAGATTTTCGCCCACCGGGATTCTTTGAGAGAAAACTTTTAAATGAAAAATTAAGCTGCCGGCAGACGTCTTTGAATAAATTTCCTACCGCGCGCAATAGCTGTTCTCTTGTCCGCATTTTAAACAGAAAGTAGACGCAACCAGTCTATATGAAAACTTCGCAAATTAGTTGGATAATTAATCAACATAATTATCTCGAATCATGTAAAAGGTTACATGATGCTGTCCTTAAATGCAATCTCAAAAGTAAATCCCTGCGTAATTGACCGCTTGAAACTTCATGGGGTGTTATAATTGGAGCAATTGACACGAAACCTAAAGCCTCACACAGGAATACAGGTTGCAGTCTCTTATGGCCAGTAAGGTCAATCAACGGCTGAATGCGTGATAAAAACTGATGAATCTGTACGAAGCTTAATTTCACATGTGTCAGCAATTAAAAAGGAGTTCTGAGCAGACTTACACATAGGTAGAAGGTTTTTCATTAAATTATTATTTTTTCTGACTTTTACGAAGCAAGAGGCAATGGTACCTAAGTCAGCCGATTTACACTTACATTAGAGTTGTAGTGAAAAGTAACTTCAAGAGAGTCTGATTATGAAATAAAAACTTTGCGTCATCATCTGACTAGCAAAATTATTACATTATGACGTGCTTCCGTTTTGTTACAGATCAAAGGTGCCGTCAAAATGTGCTCGTGGCACACGAGGCGCAGCCGAGTGTATAATTGATGTTCTTACCACATTTTGACATATTATGTGATCTTTAACTGAAAATCCACGTCAACATGTAATCTGTTTGTTTTAGATGATAAAAAAGCAAAATTGTGCGGATGGCAACGTAAACTATGCGTCTGTCCTCCAGTAGATCTTTGGTAAGAGCCAAACAAAATGAGTGAACAGTTGAGTGTAATTTAATTTAATACTTTTATAAATAGCAAACCTGATGGCGCTAAGATCTGTTCGTTCCTCAACCGACCCAGCTGTAGTCGTGATGAAAGCCAGGTGATTTATCTCGACCACGCTGAAACACATGTTATACAGTGAGTACAAGAAACCGTAATAGACGGTGGGAAGCCATGTTTGATGTCTTCCACCACAGAGAATGCAACGGTTGATGCAGAGAGGAACTACGATGCCCATAAAAACCGTTGCCAGGAGATGCCAAGATTTTCGCATTCCAATTTTCTGTGAAAGAACGGGTACTTTAACCATATCACCAAGGTAACCAGAGATTACTGAAGTCAACGCGTCAACAATTTGTCCAATGAGTATTATAAGTCCAGTGTCCGCAGCTGAAAGTTCGACTACCTCCATCAAAAATAGGAGAGAAAATGAAAACATGTACTTGCAGAGGTCATTGAATATACTTCCCGCTGCACACAGTAACATTTCTCTTGTACGCATTGTAAAAACGAGGCTCCTTGGTCTGGGCACGCCACACTTTTCCCCGTTTAAACCTGCTTCGATTCTATGGGAAGCCTATTTTTACCATTTTTATATGGGTGTGTGACGTTCCCACTTGATAAGAAAATAATGCATCAATCACAGCTCGCTTTTTGTTTTCCAGAGAGCCAATCATATCAACAGAGTCTTAGTGAGGTTTCCTACCCCAGCCCTCACAATATTTTACTCTGACTAAAACGAATCAAGCTCGAAACGCAGTAAGCTAATCATTTGCGTCGTTTGAAAACTTATAGATACTATAACTGGGTGCTACTTTTCTTGGCAGTTTCACTGACCCTTTTAAGGTAGATAATGTTTGGTTTCTCCATTGAAAATCACAGTAGATTGTGAAAGAGCAGAAAAATTGTATTCGATGTCTGGCGCAATTCGTATCCACAGTAATTTTTATTGCTCTTATTACACACACAATAAATTGACCTTGCTAAGAGGAATTCGCTAAACCATAGATTGACGCAAGAACTTGGCTATAGCTTATTATTCTTGGCTATAGCTTATTATTCTTGAGAGTCATAAAATTGATAAAGATCGGGGTTGATGATAAGTAGACTAATTATTGCAATTTCCATAATTAAAAGGAAGTTAATTGAGAAACATTGATGCCAAGTCTCGTTCACCGCCACCTCCCATGACCTACATTTGGCCGATTATTAAGTAGTGCTTTTAAAACATTCACATTGGAAATGAGTTTACCGTCTCTTTGGAAGAGGAAATATATGAACTGAATAACCTCCTCCTTCATCGTTACTTGGATATCCAAGGAACATGTTTATATAGCCGGTGAACTGACCTTACGTAATTGAAAGTGCAGAAACTAAAATGTTCCGCATAATTACAGGCTAAAACGCGACTAATTTTGGCTTGTTTTGAGTCATTGATACAAATTAGAATAGTTTAGTGTTGTGGATTGCAAAAGCAATTATTTGAAGTGAAATGCAGTTCCAAACCATCTGTTCACTTAGAACTTTCTTTCGTATGCTGGCAATTTAATCTCAAGCAAGTAATTGCACTATGTCTTTCTTGAAAGACAATTGTTAGACAAGGTAGTTCTATTCGAGCAACCATTGTCTGAGGTCTCATTAGTAAAGATACTGCTGTCTCAGAAGTAAAACATCCCGTAACCATTAACGTAGCTCTACAATAATCTTGTGTATGGTTTTATGCAACAAAACCCACGCATATTATATTTCTGAAAAGAAATTATAGATTTGTGTCCTCAGGAAAACAATGAACCGCGGCGACGGAAGAGTTTTGATTTGCGTCTAATCACACCTTTGGCGTTGCTTTGTTTCGAAGAGAAGCTGAGGAAGTGGAACATCAAACGATGATTGATCTGCTTGAGCCTCAACATCCTGTGCGTCTGCACACGAGAAATGGCACACGTAAAGGTTATGCAATGGAGGGCATACAACAATATATGAAATAACGCTCCAAACCTATTATCAAAAGCAGAGGAATTAGAACAAAAAGTAGAGCAAGTCTCTGCGTCAGTATACGGTTTCTTGCGTAAAATCAAACAGAATACTTCAGACGTCATTGCTGACACATTTTGCACGTAGTTGCATACAACAATATATGAAATAACACTCCAAACTTACTTTCAAAAGCAGAGGAATTAGAACAAAAAGCGGAGAAAGTTCTTGCGTGAGTATAAGGTATCTTGCGTGAAAAAATAAATTTTTGTGACCATTCGCCTGGAGAGGAGTCTGTGTATATTCAATCATTCTGCGTAATTACCAGTATGCTAGACGGGCATGTGAATTAAGATTTAAATCAACGTTGTTACCTTTCGTTTGTAAGCAAACTTTTGACGGTTGGAGAGGCAAAACCAGTAGGAATTCCACCAAACAGAATACTTCAAATGCCATTGCTTACGCATTTTGCACATATTTGCCAACAGCCTCGCTTGAGCTAATTGGAATCGAGAGTAGGAAATTGGGTACATCAGAATATAGTAGATTTTAAAAAGTTGAAAGCTGATGAAAAAATTTTAAGGGTGAACTCGAGCCTATAGGGCACTTTTCTGTGCAAAGTGAACATGAAATTGAATTCATATTTAG